TCGGTATATTTGTTGCATTATATTAGAATTATGTATTTTCATATATTATCTAATTATGAAATTTTATAATTAATTATATATTAAAAATGAAGCATTGAAAATTGTGAGTTTAAAAGATACCTATTCACTATAGGTAAATAAATAGATAGCTCGCCTTTTGTACAAATATTTGGTGCAAGAAAGAATAAATAAATAAATAGGATGTTTCGTAGATGTGTTTTTGATTATTATTAATTTTTACGTGTCACGTATTGAAAAGTAACATACCTACCTAAAAATTTTTGAACTGAGCACCTTGTAACATAGCCTGCTTATTACTTATGCTGGCAGACATTATCCTCGCCCCAATGATTGATGAGGATGAAAATCAATTTTATTTCTACATACGTAATTATATTTATTTATTCATAAGGGTAACTTTAATAAAGGTAATACAAAAATCAACAAGAAGTATAAGGGTTCAATCTTTCAATTTCAATTGTAAAAAAACGTTACCCCCACACTAGGATTTTCTCCTGTGTCGTGGAGGCAGTTTACAAACATAAATTTCACAAGGATAAACATCCAGACCCGGAACAATTATTTGTATGGCCTACATTATTTACATAAAATTATATACAGATGTGTCACAGTGCATCATCTTCTTCGATCTTAAGAAGAGACATATCTGTTTTGTTTGTTAATTAGGTAATTACTATTTATTATATACGTATTTTTTAATAGCACCATCTATTTCTTTTTTTCTATAAGTAGTCATTTTATCAAAACAAAATTGATTAACTCTCATGGTGGTACGTAGAAAAGACACTAGATGGCACTAACACAAAAAATTATTAAGATGGTTGTCTAATCCATTCCTAAGAATCCATAATTTCAAAACTCACCCATCAATATTATTTTTTGGGTTTATGCCATTTAGCATCTATTATACGTACCACTTTTGAGAGTCAATCAATTTTTATTCGATAAAATGACTTTTACTATAGAATGTTACTACATTCTATTGATGATGGCGCTATTACTCAAATGGGATCACTCTTTCTCAAAATTATTTATAAATTAACTAATAGCAATAGAGGTGGAGCAAATTCGGATTCGGCTGGAGCATTTAAGAAGCAAATAATTGGCATACAGTTTAATTTTAAAACTGTAGACATTTTATGTTTTATAGCAAAATTGAATTGCCGATACTTAATTTTTTTTTAAATTAATTATAAATTAACTAATTACAATAGAGGTGGAGCAATTCGGATTCTGCTGGAGCATTTAAGGAGCAATTAATTGGCATACAGTTTAATTTAAAAAAGTAGATATTTTATACTTTATAGCAAAATTAAATTTTTGATACTTAATTTTTTTAAAAATTAATTATAAAATAACTAATAACAATAGAGGTGGAGCAATTACGGATTCTGCTGGAGCATTTAAGGAGCAATTAATTGGTATACAATTTAATTTAAAAAAATAATGTTCTACGCTAACTTCCTTCTGGTTATTTTTTTAAAAATTAATTATAAATTAACTAATAACAATAGAGGTGGAGCAATTACGGATTCTGCTGGAGCATTTAAGGAGCAATTAATTGGTATACAATTTAATTTAAAAAAATAATCTTCTACGCTAACTTCCTTCTGGTTATTTTTTTAAAAATTAATTATAAATTAACTAATAACAATAGAGGTGGAGCAATTTTGGATTCTGCTGGAGCATTTAAGGAGCAATTAATTGGTATACAATTTAATTTAAAAAAATAATCTTCTACGCTAACTTCCTTCTGGTTATTTTTTTAAAAATTAATTATAAATTAACTAATAGCAATAGAGGTGGAGCAATTTTGGATTCTGCTGGAGCATTTAAGGAGCAATTAATTGGTATACAATTTAATTTAAAAAAATAATCTTCTACGCTAACTTCCTTCTGGTTATTTTTTTAAAAATTAATTATAAGTTAACTAATAGCAATAGAGGTATAGCAATTTCGGATTCAGCTGGAGCATTTAAAGAGCAAATAATTGGCATACAGTTTATTTTTAAAAACTATATATTTTCTGTTTTATAGCAAAATAAAATTTTCGATATTTAAATTTTTTAAAAATTATTTATAAATTAACTAATAGCAATAGAGGTGGAGCAAATTCGGATTCTGCTGGAGCATTTAAGGAGCAAATAATTGGCATACAGTTTAATTTTAAAACGTAGATATTTTATGTTTTATAGCAAAATTGAATTGTCGATACTTAAATTTTTTTTAAATTAATTATAAATTAACTAATAACCATAGAGGTGGAGCAATTTCGGATTCTGCTGGAGCATTTAAGGAGCAATTAATTGGCATACAGTTTAATTTAAAAAAGTAGATATTTTAAACTTTATAGCAAAATTAAATTTTTGATACTTAATTTTTTTAACAATTAATTATAAAATAACTAATAACAATAGAGGTGGAGCAATTTCGGATTCTGCTGGAGCATTTATGGAGCAATTAATTGCCACACAGTTTAGTTAAAAAAAAGAATGTTCTACGCTAACTTCCATCTGGTGCGCGACCACGACAAAATAAGTAGTGTCTGACCGAAACAGGATTTTCAACGGAAACCGAAACCGAAAACGAACCTTCGGTCTGGGTGTCAGTTTCGGCCGAAACCGAAACTGAAACCTAAACTTATTAGATATATTAATTTTTTTCATTGTATACTGAAATCTGGTATATTTTTTATACATATACAGATACGTAATGCATGTTAATGTAAAACAGTAATTGTAATAGTCGTGTAGCAATATATTTATTTATTTTAAAGTAAAAATCAATAATTTAATATAATAAGTAATAAGTTAATATATCACACTCACACACTTACACACAATATACGCACAACTTAACGAAATCCCAGAAAATATACAAGACCTGCTCAGAGTTCAAAAACTGTAATAAACTAAGTTTGTATAAAAAGGGTTATTATAATGTTAAGGAATTTATGGATGATAATAACAGCTGGGAATGAGGTGATCATTACCAAGCTATTTCTAATTTGTTTTGTGTTGTTAATTGTGTTACATACATAATTGTAACCAGTGGTGTAGCTAGGCGTGGGCGAAGTGGGCCCTCGCCCACGTCCTCGCACTTAAAAGGGCCTGGCAAGGCCACCTAAAATGCGATGCCCTCAGACTTTACCACAGATGACTAATCACTTTGATCACTTTTAAGTGTGTTTGTTTGGGGCCTCGCAAGAAGCCCCTCTTAAATGGGACTGCGAGGCCCTTTGTTCAAAGACTTTCAAAGACCGCGATTGTTGACATTGACGAAATACGAGACTTGTCAAGAATTAATAGATATGAGTAGGTATGTCATGTCATAGCATGTTTGGTAGGATAGATCTATTGGGTAGATCCTTGGAACGAAAGAAAAGGGGTCTCGCTGATGCAACTTCGCCCACGTTTATATTAGTCCACGCTACGTTATTTTAAACTGTTATTTAAAAAGGGTCCCGCTGGGATTCTCGCTGGTTCTTCTAAGGACAGAGGTATTTTTTCGAACTAGTGGTAATTAAACAAAAGAGTGACTTTCAATAAGTATTATCCTTCTAAGTCTTATTCTTTTTACGTGGTAGAGTCATGCTGCAGATATATTAATAGTATAGTTGTAGCACGAATGGGTCGGCTCGACCCCCCGGTCGAGGATCGAAGGATCACGCTCTCACAGAATTCTAGCGTAAAATTGCAGCTTAATGTTGCTGTGTATCGTATGGTGAGTGTAGAAAACCGAAGACCCTTTTTTCTGGAAAAGAGGCATTCTATCTTAGTTCTAACGGCTGACAACGCATATGCATTTTAATTTGCAAACGAAGATAGATGTAGATGTCTTTGTGCCACAGCAACCACTGACCATCAGGTGGACTGTGTGCTCGTTTGTCACCCTTATTCTATATAAAAAAAATATTTATATTCTATATTGAATAAAAAAGTTTCTGTTTCTGTATAATTATGAATAATTTTATAATAAATAATTTTGTAGCACAAATGTGTCGGCTCGACCGGGGAAAAACCACACTTTCACAGAATACCAGCGTAAAATGGTAGCTTGATACTGCTGTGTTTTGTATGGTGAGTGTAGAGACCCATTTTACTGGAAAAGAGGCATTCCATCTTAGTCCTCACGGGTGACGACGCATCTGCCTTTTGATTCTTTATTGAGGATAGATGTGGATGTCTATGAGTCACAGCAACCACTTATCATCAGGTGGACTGTGTGGTCGTTTGTCACCCTATCCTATAAAAAAAACCACGAGTCACGAACTCATTCGAACGACGCACGATAATCCACGAACACTGAGTTTCGGCGCCGCCGAAGATTCTAAGGAAACTATTACCGAAACTAGATTTTTTTGCCGAAACTTGCTGAAACCGAAACCGAAACCTATCTTCGGTCGGTCACTAAAAATAATTATGACGGTGGTTGGCGCGGCAGTGATATAATATAGATAATTGTTCAACCCGGGCAAAGCTGGGGAGAACCGCTCAGTAATATACAACTCAATAACATGTAAGTATTTAGTTTTTGTATCTGAATGGCATTTTGCTGGTCGCTGTCGAAAGTGGCGAAACCTCATTTTTACACCTGGTCTAGCACCCATCTCCTGATTAATTTCCCTCTTATGACAGGGGAATGAACAGGGAAATCAGTAGATGGGCTTTAGCTATTCTGACAACAGCTCGAAACAATAAAAGACTTCGGTTGCCTGCCAAGCATGATAACTAAGGCTAAAATAATATCCACTCTATGAGGTAAACTATGGCGGAGGCCTATGTTCAGCAGTGGACTTTTATACTCTGTAATGAGAAAATGAATGAAAAGCATATCCGTCTTGTATACGACAGATGTTAATGCTATGGGATCCATGGGAGCATCAAAGATCGGCACAGTGGAACAGTAGGAAAGGGTCATAGCTATTACGTGCTGGTGAATAAGAGGTAATAGTTGCTGTTCTTTTGAAATAGTCTTACCTGCCGTCTCAATAAATGAAAGTATTGCGCGGGCGTAGTCGGGTTTACCACATGCATGCAAACCGCTTCAGAATCTGGCGTGGTCTCCGCACTGTCAGTGAGTTGCAGGAATCTCTCCAACCTGCAGGAAGAATGCTCGGATGCAGCGCCATCGTATCCATGCGGTAGGAGCATTACTAGTCCGTTACTGCGAACCCATTTCGCTGAAAGTATTTTGAAATTAAATTCGGCAAGTTTTTTGATCTTTTCAGACATTTCCTATTCTTTTTTATACAAGTGTCCCAGGGTTATAAACAGAAACATATACTCTTGAGAGTAAGTGGATGTTGCAGCTCTTCAAAAACTACATCAATTTTGATTATAAATATATTTTTGGAACGATTCATTTCTGAGACAGTTTTAGGCAAGTACATGTTTGTCGCACTGCCTTAGTGCATGTTGGCCAACTTCACAGGTCTTCGAATTTCTTTTTGGAACGAAGTTCTTTATCGGACGGTACGGATTTGGCGGATGGGGGCTAGATGAGAAAAAGTGTAAGATTTTTCCGTCACGGCCCCTTCTGACGTAGTGTAGACGGTCTTGGCGGCTATAAGGAAGCGATATGGAATAATATCCATCTCCTTCGCACTTTTTCTTATCTTGCCGTGAAAGAAATATTATTTTATTTCAAATGATGCTTCATTTTAATATTTATATTTCTTAATGAATAATATAAGATATTTATCAATAATAATATACTACGAAAGGAACTTCGTTCCAACCGAGTGTTCCACGACACTCACGCATTTTTTTTTATAAATCTGAAGGGACAAACTAACTTACAGTTTACCAAATAGTAACTGGTTACTTTAGCCCATGAACTCCTGCATCCTACTTCAAACAAAGAAGGTTAGAGATACGTTTTCATCTTTGAGGACTAAGATGGAAAGCCACACAGCCTATAAATGTACTGACTCTCTATACTTTTTAGAGAACACAGCAGTGAAAGCAATGCTATTTGGTGCAATGCCTTGTTACCAGTAAAACAGGGCCTCCGGTTCTCACCAGTCACCATACAAAATACAGGAGTATTATGCTTGAAATTTTACGCTGATACTCTATGAAAGCGTGGCCCTTATTCAGTTGAGCGGACCTACTGGCAGCATAGTAGGGTGGGGTGGCACTACCTGACACTACATACCATAGAGTTTTCATATCAAATGGCCATTCTGAACATAGGCCTTACACATAGCATACCCTAAGAAGAATATGCTGTGTCCATAGCTTGTTTTTTATATATGCATATTGCATAGAGGGAATATTAGCTACACTTGGCAGGTGGGTTCGCAACTGCAACTTTTTATTATTTTGATCTGTTATCAGATAGATGCTGCTGCCCATCTCCTGTTTCATTTCCTTCGGTTGCCTCTTACGAGACTCACGGGACGATATGGGGTAGTTGATATTTTTTCACCGGCAGTTCACGATTTTTTGTAATGTAAGTTAATGTAATGTGTTCTTTAGAAATAGTTTCTTAGTTAAAAAAAAGAGATAAAACCCAAATTCTTTTTATTAATTTCAGGTAAGACAGAAAGAAAGGCACTTCATGATTCCATAGTGGGTATTAAAATTCCTTTGCTGGTTTGCTTTTGTATAGCGTAGTATTGAGATTCTATGATACCCATGGGGTATAGTGGATTCTGTTAACCCGCTACTACACGCACTACACGCGCTTCACATATGCTTAATAAAGTAAAATAGCAAGCGTTCTGATTACCTTCACCTGACGCAATGTATGTATCAACGATAATTTGCGCTCCGTTGTAGAAATCCCCAAATTGTGCCTCCCAAATACACAAGTTGTCGGGCGAGTCGTAAGCCATGCCATATTCAAAGCCGAGAACGGCTTCTTCGGATAATATCGAGTTTACAACCTGAGACAGGACAAGATTTGTAGATCAATGGAAATCATATAAAAGCATTATTTAGTAAATTACTAATTAGACAAATTGACTTGAGTATTATGGGTAAATAAACAAAAAGACGTATTATTTGGAAACTATAATATTATATATTTTGGCGTTGACGAAAAATCTTGAGAAAACCTTTCAGTAACTAAATTACATTTAACAAAAAGGTATCAGATAAATAAAAAAAAATGAAAATGTGTGTAGTCCGCCTACGGGAAAGGAAGCAATGTGGCGGATACTTAAAAATGTGTGGAGGCCCAGCCGTGGGGAGTAAATAGGCTGTAACTACTTTGTTCACATATAATAAATGTATTAATCGTAAAAGAAATATTATGTGTATAATAACAGTGAAATGCATGGATCAAGTGTTACTAATGGGAGGTGGAGGACGGTGGTGTTGTCATAATTATGTTTAGATGGCGATGTAAGAATATCCATTTCCCCATATCGGGTGTCGTAAGAAGCAATAAATATCCGCCTTATGCAGATAAATATATGGGGAGGCCTTTCTTCAGCAGATAGCTGTAATTAATGGATGAATAGATATTTCTGTCCTTAATTTATCGTTGCATTAAATTCAGTATTATTAGATCTCTAATTTGTATTTGACTGGCAATCATTGAGAGGTCGATTTGTTAGGAGAGTAATTTATTTTAATTAATGAATAAAGAAAATATTTTCAAAAAGCAAAAATAAGATTGAAAGTTTCCCCGAACTGTATATAAATTAAGATATTGTCACGAGAAATAAAAAGTGGCTAAAGTTGTGAGGTCGCGAAACAGCCGTATTATTCTCCGACTTCTCTATTATAAGGAAAATAATTAGGTTTCTCCCTAGTGCTGTCTTTTATAATACTTATAAAGATTAGTAGAATAACAATAGTGATTATGGGATACGCGTGAAGAATATTATGGCTTCAGATAGATGAGTGGTATAATTGTCTTGTATAATCCAGACGTAAAATATCAAGACCGGCATGAAGCAGTAGCATCAAATGTGTGACAAGTCTTTTAAAATGTTACCAGCAAAATAATAACAGATTGACTACATGATATGTGAATTTTGTGTCATTTCTAATGCTCCTTTTTCAATGGTCTATGGAGTATAGGTTAAGGCAATTTTTTAATGTTTTGTTGATTATATATCTGTGCTTTATATATTAGTATGTAGTTGAAAGAATAGATATAATATGAGGTCGGGGAAAAAGTATCTTCGTATTTTATATACAAATTCAAGACATTTAGAATAGAAATCCTGTGATTATTGAGTAGTTTTGACAGTCCTCTCTTGATGTTAATCTAACACTATCCAAAGAATTCTGAAGAGACCGAAACAGGTGAAAATATGAAGGTGCAATGTCAGGACTACATGGTGGATGTATTAACACTTCCCAACCAAGCTCCGGAATTTGTGCTCCGGAGTTGGCACCGGTCCTAGCGCGTCTTTTCCGATACTCCTACTCCCAAGGCGTAGTCCTGAATTCATGGAAGACAGCTTTTATCCACCCGATCCCTAAAAAAGGCGACCGCTCAGACCCGTCCAATTATAGGCCTATCGCGATCACCTCCTTGTTCTCCAAAATAATGGAATCCATTATTAACTGCCAGCTCATCCGGTACCTTGAGGATCACCAGCTGATTAGTGACCGCCAATACGGTTTTCGTCGGGGTCGATCAGCTGGTGATCTTCTGGTCTACCTGACCCATAGATGGGCGGAGGCAGTAGAGTCCAAGGGGGAGGCGTTGGCCGTTAGTTTGGACATTGCGAGACCTTCGATCGGGTTTGGCACAAAGCGCTTCTTTCGAAGCTTCCTTCCTATGGGCTTCCCGAGAAATTGTGCAATTGGATCACCAGTTTCCTTGTAGATCGGAGCATCAAGGTCGTTGTAGACGGTGCATGTTCTGACTACAAGCCTATTAACGCTGGTGTTCCACAAGGCTGTGTGCTATCTGCTATCAACGCTGTTTCTTCTGCATATCAATGATATATTGCTAACTGGTAACATTCATTACTATGCGGATAACAGCACTGGTGATGCTCTATACACCGGCCTTGCCAATATTTCTCGGGAAAACGTCACCGAGTACCGGAACAAACTTGTGTCTGAAGTCGAGTCTTTGCTGGAAAAAGTCTCGGATTGGGGGCGACTAAATCTAGTCCAGTTTACTCCTCAGAAGACACAAGTTTGCGCGTTTACCGCTAAAAAGAACCCCTTTGTCGTATCCCCTCAGTTTCAAGGCACCCCCCTTCTTGCCTCAGCCAGTATCGGTATCCTCGGAGTCGACATATCGAGTGACGTGTAGTTTCGTGGTTACTTGGAAGAGAAGGCCAAATTGGCCTCTAAAAAGCTTGGCGTGCTCAGCAGAGCGGGACAGTATTTCATGCCGGCACACCGCCTGCAACTTTACAAGGCGCAGGTTTGGCCTCACATGGAATACTGTTCCCATCTCTGGGCAGGGGCTCCCCAGTGCCAGCTCCTTCCACTTGACCGCATCCAGCGCAGACCGGCTCGAATCGTCGACGACCGAGCCCTTTCCGATCGGCTCGATTCATTGGCACTGCGAAGAGATGTTGCATCCCTTTGCATTTTCTTTCGCGTCTACCATGGGGAGTGCTCTGAGGAATTATTCGGATTAATCCCAGCCGCCAAATTTCACGAAAGCACATCGCGGCAGAACTCCCGATACCATCCACACCATCTGGATGATTGGCGGTCCACCACTGTGCGATTTAGAAGATGTTTTCTTCCTCGCACGACTTCCTTGTGGAATCGATTACCATCAGCGATTTTTCCGGACCGATACGACTTAGGGACCTTCAAGAAAAGAGCGTATTCCTTTTTAAAAGGCCGGGAACGCATCTGCAATTCCCTCCCTGGTGTTGCAGTTGTTCATGGGCGGCGGTAGTCACTTACCATCAGGTGAGCCGCATGCTCGTTTGCCCCCTCTCCTATAAAAAAAAATTAAAAAAAGTCTGTGGAGCTTGACTACCCTTTGACCATGATCTTTTTCGCACGTTCGTATCGTAGGTGATCCACTTTTCATCACCAGTGATCAATAATTTCAAAAAAGTTTGGTTTCATTACGTTTCAATAGAGAATCGCAAATGAGTACACGATCCATTAGGTGTCTTCCAGTGAGCTCGTGTGGTACCTAAATATCAAGCTTTTTTGTATAGTCAGACTTTTTCAAATGGGTGAAAACAGTTTTGTGGTCAATTCTCAATTCCTCGGCTATGTCGTAACTACTAATAAGCCGATCTTGCTCCAAGTTTTCAAAAATAGCACCGACTTTATTCGTATGAGAGCAACGACAGCGAACTGCATCTTAGACATCTAAATATCCGACTTGAAAACGCTTGAACCAATTTTGTGCTACTCTTACTTACACTGCATTACATCCATAAACGTTACAAACGTGTTTTGTGCCTTGAGTCGGATTTTTCCCATTTTTGTAATAAAACTTCAGAATGTATCGAATTTCTTCGTAAGATTCACTCATTTTGGCGGACAGAAAAACTAATTCAAAATGTAATGAAAGTGTTTTTTTATATTAAAAGCAGCCAGATATAAACAGATTTTTTTTCAATTTTATACAAACAAAATATGAAGAAACTTTTGCCCCGACCTATTATAATATTATACTGAGAGTTGTAAGTGAAATACAGCTTTCTTGACATACAAACTTAAAAATTTAAGGAACTAAGTACGAATTTCGACCACTAGATGACCACTTCTATATGAAAGATGTTCCTGGATTATCTCGGCATTTCCTAAAGTCGTTTTGTACTGGACGAAATGGAGTAATGAATTGTCTTATTTTGCCATTACACGTAATAACTATAGACTGTTCTCTTAGATACAATTGCCTTTGTGACACGTCGCCCCGGCGCGTGCTACATCTTGTCAAAGGCGCCGCCGTGACATCTAAGGGCGTACACCCGCAGGAGAATTTGGCATTTTAAAACGAAACGCCGGAGTGAAAGGTTGTTTTAGTTGACTCTCTACGTATACAGAAAATGGGATTTCGTCCTTGGGAGGACAGTGAAGTGCCTCAAGATGAAATTTTGAGTGAACCAATAGTAAAATGTTAGTATGAATTCAGAAAGTGGTGACGTTGGATGCCTTATTACATTATTATTATACAAATACATGTGGCAATGACTCAGACACTTCGAGCGATAAAGAATAGTGTCTATTTTACCGTCGTTTATGTTTGCCTATCCATTCATATTTTCTATTTAAAATTTGTTTGCTACCCAACTTGTGTTCATTATTTATATTCGTATTTTATTACAATAACCACACGAATAAAATAGTTTATTTATCAAACATTGTAAAAAAATATAAAATAAAAGCAAATTAATAAGTGCGCCTCCGGGTGTACCGACACTATGTGAACAGTCTATATTTGGTTCTTACCCAGGAATAGATATTAACGTAAAAGATAGCAAATTGTTGCCACTTATTTAACTGGTAACGAGGCATTTCACTTTAGTTCTAATAGAAATAAATATAGACTTTTTAAATATAGGTAATAAGCAATAATAATTGAAAGTTATTCTTATGTTTAATGTACTACTAGACAGAAAAATACCTCTGTCATGGAAAAAACTAAACGGAAAGCGACTTTTTTTTTAAAAGCACACTATAATCTTGTATTATTAGCAAAAAAAAAACCCCGGCGGGATGTTTTATTTAAAAAAAAATTACAATCATATATTGCGTAAAACAGTGATTCCCAAACATTGTTCTGCCATGGCCCGGTAATTTTCACACTGTACCTTCGTGATCCACTTAATACTTTTAAACCCAAACTGGTTCCATTAAGTAAAATAATACACATTTATTAATAGTAAAAATGTTTTTAAAATGAATGTTAACGATGCGTCGATCGATAGTAGGTATTATTTTTAAAACAAGGCGGGAAAGCTGCGACCCGGTATTTTGTTTTGATGGCCCGGTACCGGGTCGCGACCCGGCAAATGGGAAACGGTGGTGTAAAACGTCTTATACACGGTCCATCTTGCTATATGTCCTGCCATGGTCACGTACCTAATTATTAACGTACGTCAAGCCTATTTATTGTGGTTTTGCGTAGTACGTCGTGCGTGACCTTGGCGGGACGCATAGCAAGATGGACCGTGTATAAGAAGTTTTATATTTTATTTAGTTATGAGATACAAACGTATAGACGCATTTCGATTTTTAAGTGTCTACATGCCACTGCATTCAGTTAACATCAGGTGGATTGTTTGCTCGATTATATAAAAAAACAACACTAAAATTTTCGCCCTCTTAGTATAAAAAACACATAAACATTCCTTTAATGTGTTGTAGCTTAATGTATGAACTTGAAGTTAGTCATTTTACTAATATTTCAGGACATTATTTTCTTACCTCTAAAAATCCTTTTTGTTCTTCATGTATGTGATTGAGTGGTATGTGAATTTGTTCCGTCTCCTGATCAACAAGCATGACGTGCCTGTGGGAGAAGGTACCACGACCTACGTCCTCCCCGCTTAGTCGTACATGACGACCCTCCATTAGCAAAGAACCTGCAGGTTAAAAATTATAAAAGGCTGTCTTATAAGCTACTTTACCAATTCCCAATGTATATAATTGACTACTGGGTGGCGTATTGGCCAGATAATATTCACAGATATTCACGGTGACTTTGCATTACAGTACGTATGGCTGAACCCTGCGTGCTGACCTCCCTCTATCGCAAAAACGATTGTAGAGCATAAAATTTGTCGCAAATTTTATGCCTTAGGGAATTCGATGGATGCAAGTGGCTTAGGACATTTTTGGGGGAGACCTATGTTCAGCAGTGGACTTGTGAAGGATTGTAATGATGGTGGTGATAATATCAAGGATGTGAAAGAATTAAAATAACCCCTGGGTATAAAAATATTCTATTCTATTAAACGGTTTAAAGAAGGCATTACCGAATGCCAATGCTTCAGCTGTAGCCCAATCTAGTTCTTTTCCATCAGACAGCTTGTTCAATCGATTCTTGACGTGGGTCTTGGCTAAATGAGAATGAACGTTCTGAAAGTGAACAATCTAATTAGAACTGTTTTCATTAAAATTTAATCATATATTTATTACACACTAGCGATCTGCCCGGACTTCATTTCTGGATCTCGATAACAGTGCCACCTACCGGGCCCAAATGTGAATCTAAACCATCTAGACACCCATTCAAACATACACAAAAAATTTAGTATTTATTCAAAATGTATCTCTGAACGGGGAATACTAAATTCATAACTTCAATCAATTCATCATTATTTTAGTTGTATTAATCAAGTAATATTTTTATATTTTTTGACTGCCTCGTTGGTCTAGTGCTGATCATAAGATCCCAAGTTCAAAACCCAGGTCACGTAAAAATCAGTTATTGGGTTTTTTTGTCAAGAAATCCGCTTCTTACTGCTGCTGAGGGTAGCATGGAGTCAGGAAGTTGGCAGTGTTTTGCCCCATACCTCGGAATGCACGTAAAGCTGTCCCACGCCTGATTTCTAAAGTCGTTTCGTTTGCCGTCCTATCGGATTATGAGAATCAGGGAATAGAGAGTGTACCTGTTCCCTAATTCTCACAGTCCGATTCCGGTTAGCGCACACACTCGTGCACTCTTGTCCCGTGCAGATGGCTAGTCTGTGTAGCCGCCGTAAACGAATTCGGAGTGGAAGATTTTTTTTTTAAATATTAAAAGAATTTTTCAAAGACAGAGTCTCCAATTTTAAAATGGAAGCCAAAATATTATTTTATTCGCGGAATATTTAACATTAATATCATAATGACTGATTATAATATAACTTTTTATTAGTTTAAGAGAAAACTTTGGCATGTTCGTTAGTGAGTTGTCTAAACGCTAACATTATTTTCGATAACGTCGTTATATAAATTGGAGTGGTTAAATAGAGTTATATTAGACGTTGAGGTGAAGGCGAATGCACTGAGACTCCAATTATAAACATTAATTATGCTTCGGAATTGGTTTACTGCCCGCAACTCTATGGGGATTATTTAAATTTAACTAAGAAATTTCTTCGTATTTTATACCTTTAAGGGAAACGGAAAATTGTAAATGCTTTTTCTTCAAGTACAGCAACGCCGATTCAATCCGGCACCAATGGAATTGTTAATTCCAATTCCCAGCGCTTTTTTTACTTCTATCAAGCCAGAGCTTGATTGATGTTTTTTTATGAAACTGAAGTAACAAAAGACGTTAATTGGCTAGTGCAACCTATGGACATCTATAGCAACCAATTTCAAGTAAAGAAGCCTACAGATGCGTTGTCACCCCTGAAGACTAAGATGGAATGCCTTCTCTTCCAGTAAAAAGGGTCTCCGGTTCTCTACACATACCATACGAAACATAGCAGCATTAAGCTTCTATTTTCCCGGTCGAGTCGACCCATTCGTGCTACAGCAGTTTTGATTCTTTATCGAGGATAAATGTAGACGACTATGAGTCATAGCATCTACTTACCATCAGATGGACGTGTGGGTATTTCAATAAGCATTCTTTACATGTTTTGGCTGCAATCTAAACTTTATAGATAGATGTCCGCGTTAGAAATATATACCTATCTTCCCCATTCTTACCTAATTTCTCGTAATTTTTATATAACTTTTCGTTATTTTTTTCAACTACTAGAATTTACGCTGATAGTAACGTGCAGGTGTGTTATAGGCATGGCTTAAAAATACCTTATGTTTTATTTATTATAGCGTTGCTCCTATACTTATCTAAGTAATGTTTGTGAATACTGACATTAGTTTTCTGTACCTCGTGCGTTCGAGAATACTGTGAGATGTCATAGTAAATGAAATGATCTCATAAAATTCGAGTGATAGTTAATTTACTGTCTCTTCCATCTACTGTTGAATATTAAAATAAACTTTTTAGTCTTTAATTTTATACTTACAAAGCCATTCGGCGCAGAAACGGAAGCGAATCCTACTTGTTTTAATAAATCCGTGTTGACTCCAGTATCCCAAGTTTCAACGGCTTTAGGTGCTGCGGACATACCGGTCCATTGATCTTGATAATATGTGACCTACAAATGGCAAAAAATTTAGTTTTGTTTCTCTAAAAATGCTTATAGGAACTAACAAAAGACAGAAGAATGTTTTTTTTAAATAAAGCTGAAGTTACAAGTGGACTTACGGTCCTAGTTGAGTACTGCTGCAGGACACTTGATCCAAAGAAGTCTACAGATGCGATGTCTCCGCTGAGGACTGAGGCTGCATGCCTCACAGCCTATAGTTATACTAGCTTTCTACACCCTCCAGATCGGAATACAACAGTTGCATTGCTGTTTAATATTACCATCTCCACCACCGCTATTTGGTTGCAGAGATAGGTAGAAGCCGCTAGATTCAAAACTGCCGCCGTCGCAATTCTCTATTTCGAAGTATCTCTCTTTTTTTTTTTAAAGGACGTACTTTTTATCATTCTGTTAAAATCATTGACCTTATAAAATTACAAAAAGTTTATTAATTTACTAATAATACATTTTTAACTAAAATAATGCTAGTGTAATTATTTAATCATTTAAAAAAAGTTTATAGTATTATTTTATCGAAACAAACCTCAGGTGTGTAAGAACTGACGGCTTCGAACTGCGTTTGCAAATACTTGGTATATTCGTTAGATATTTTATTCACATCGGCTTCTGAGACTACGCCCTCAGCAATCAACCTCTCGGCGTACAGATCCGGTATCGATCTGTCAAAGGCAACGCAAATTACTTTTCATGAATCTAAGTGAACATGTGAAACTAATGTTATACACGTATATTCTTCATTGTTGAATCTTATAGCTATTATCGATTTTGGCATATCAACTTTATTATGGGAAAGGCGATATGGGACGATATAGTACTTATGGCAGAATCGCTGGAGAACACTATGCTCAATGACCTCAATAGTGTCTCCCATAGAAATCGTAATAATAAGACGTTTATTATTACGATTTCTGTGGTGTCTCCCAACGGATAGGTCTTAAGATGAACATGGACAAAACAAAAATCATGTTTAACGTCCATGTCACACCTATGCCGGTAGTTGTTGGGAGCGCTAAGCACGAAGTTATAGACAAATATGTTTACCTAGGACAAATAGTCCGACTAGGTAAATCTAACTTCGACCGAGAGGTCAATCGACGGATTCTACATGGCTGGGCAGCGTTCGAGAGATTACGACACATCTTCACGTTAGGCATACCTCGAAACATCAAAACTAGATTGTACAACCAGTGCGTGTTGCCATGACCTATAGATCTGGACGTGGTCCATCACTGCTAGCCGTATGAGGAAGCTCAAAGTCGCTCAGCGAGCTATGGAGAGGGCTATGCTCGGCGTTCTCTGCGTGATAGACTTAAAAATGAGGATATCCGCAGTAGAACCAGAGTAACCGACATAGCCCAAAGGATTAGTAAGCTGAATTGACAATGGGCCGGCTATAGAGCTCGAATAACCGACAACCGATGTGGAGGAAAGGTTCTCGAGTGGTGGCCTCGTACCGGCAGACGAAATGTAGGGCGTCCCTCACTAGATGGAGTGACTACCTGGTAAGACATGCAGGAAGTCGATGGATGCAGGATGCTCAGGACCGTGCTTTGTGGTATTCCTTGGGGGAGACCTATGTTCAGCAGTGGACTTGTAAAGGGCTGTAATGATGATAATGATGATGGGAAAGGCTTGTCTCGCAAAATGCTACTCAGCAGCGTTGAACTCCGTGAAGAGACGTGCCACGCTGCAGCAATATTATGGACGCTCTACACTTCGTCCGCCGATCCTTTTTTTCCCATCGGTTGTCTGTTCTTCGAGCTATATGGCCGGTCCATTGCCATTTCAGCTTACTAATCCGTTGGGCTATGTTGGCTATGATTTTCTGTAGTTAAATTTTATTCTACTTTCCGTGACTTCCGCTTTAATATCAACTAACATAATCGTCGATTAAGCAAATAAAAATATATAAAAAATAAATATGAGGTAACTTGTTACCTACTTACTTTCTATTATGAATTAATTTATACAGAAGTGGATTGGTAAAGGTCGGGTCGTCGAGCTCGTTGTGTCCCCACCGTCTGAAGCAGTTGTAGTCTATGAATACGTCTTTACGGAATCTGCGTTGATATTCAAATGCTATGTTGGTCGCTTTTACGACTAACTGGAAAAAATTATATTTTTAATAGGATTCTTGATTTATTGAGTGCATTATATTTATTACAATCACTTAACTTTGGTTTGACGTTATTTAAAAATATATAGCCCACCTGATGGTAAGTGGATGCTGTGGCCAGTAGTCACGTTACATTCATTTTCGATTAAGAATGAAAATGCAGATGCGTTGTCAACCGTGAAAATTAATAGATATATATATTATATGCCTTGTTACCAGCTAAAAGGGTCTCCGGTTCTCTACACTCACCATCTGAAACACAGCAGCATTAGGTTACTATTTCGCGTGGTCAGTCCTCGGTTCAGCAGACCCATATTAAAAGGAGAACTAATGTTTCTAATGCTATAGTTGCCATTAGTGTCCGACCGAAACAGGATTTTCAACCGAAACCGAAACCGAAAACGAACCTTCGGTCTGGGCCTGAACCTTTTTTAGACATGTTCATTTTTTTGGTTGTATACTGGAATCTGGTATATTTTATACATATACAGATAGGTAATTAAGAAAATTTTCGTACACTGATTTTTTATGAATTTCGATGTCATTTAAAAAAAGAAGCGAAAGAGGTTTGTAAGGATCGTGACACTTGGCGATCTGTTCTCTCTGGCTACCCCGTCAGGGATTGTGCGTGAAGATAAGTTAAGTTAAGTTAAGATGTCATTTAAGTCAACAAGAAATATATGATAGACCTCGATTGGCCTTTCACGATGCAGCCCCATCTCGTGCCACTGTTTATAACTGGTTTAATGAGTTTAAACGTGGTCGCACGAATCTAACCGATGATCTGCGTGAGGGACGGCCATTGATTTAGTCTTGTATAACTCAATGGGGACGGCCTTTTACGGCGATGACTGAAAATAACATCAGTGTTGTGCGGCGTGTGATAGAGAATGGCAACAAAGTGACTTATCAGCAGATTCGGATAAGATAAGGCATCGGTATGAGTCAAGTGCACAAAATCCTCCATGAATATTTAGCAGCCAGGAAGCTTTGTGCCCGGTAGATACCTCATAACTTGACATAGGCCCAAAAACTCCGTCGTGTTGATTGGTGTCGTGAAATGGTTCAAGCATTTAATGGAGGTGATTTTGTTAAGGTGTGTGTATGTATATTGAGTGTGAGTGTGATATAATAAATTAATGCTCTCGTTGAATAATATTAACAATATTGTGAACACAACGGATTACACAACACGTTGCCGAAAGTTTCACATTTTGACGCTATATGAATGGAGGATCTATCTTTTTTAATTAATATAGCAAATAGCACGATCGACTGTCCCGAACTGTTGGAGCAAATACGTTTACAAGTTCCATACGCATCTTCACGCAAGCCATGAAAACTATACGTGCCGGGAGTAAATACAAACTACATGCAAAATTCTTATTTAATAAGAGTGAGCAAGTGTTTCAATGATGTGGCGAAAATACAAAATGTAGACTTATTTAACACCTCTAGCAGGCAGCTTAAGCATCTACTGAGTAATAAGTTTTTCGTTTACTGATGTGTATTACATATACCATGCATTGTTATTTATTTTATTTTACTTCTTAAATCATCTTTTATTGTGTAATTAAATCTACGTCTACGTTACTTGTGCAATTTTTCTCTGTACTTTATTTATAAGTGAGAACTTTTAATTGGCCTTTTAATTTTTTTTATTGTTCATACATTTATAACTGCTAGTAGTAGCTGTAAGTTCTCCTAAAATAGTAATAAATATATAAATAAATAAACAATAAAATATGTTCTCAATTAGCGAGCAACTTTTTATGGGTGTAAGTGTTGATTTTTTTACAAAATTTACTTAAAAAAGTATTTCTTAACGTTAAATTGATGATTTTTACTTGAAAATAAATAAATATATTGCTGCATGATTATTACAGTTACTGTTTTTGATTAACATGTATTTTTTAGATTCGTGCGACCACGTTTAAACTCATTAAACCAGTTATAAACAGTGGCACGAGATGGGGCTGCATCGTGAAAGGCCAATCGAGGTCTATCATATCTTTCTTGTTGACTTTAATGACATCGAAATTCATAAAAAATCAGTGTACGAAAATTTTCACGCGTTAAATTCATGTGACAGACAATTTTCAATTTGCCGCCAAATCGTAAACAAATGACAAACTAATAAAATACATACACAATAATATTGGCAGAGTTCCATTTTCAAAATTTGAACTTATTTTTTTATTATATCGTTTAAAAGTGGCCAGTTCTAAAAACTTTCAGTGTCGCCCTCGTATGTCGTGTCAGTGCATGTTAGGTATCTATTCGGTAGATCCATGGAACGAAAGAAAAGGGGCCTCGCTGATGCAACTTCGCGCACGTTTATATTAGTCCAGGCTACACCTCTGATTGTAAACTGTTTAAAAAAAAGTCCCGCTGGGTTTCTTGCTGGTTCTTCCAAGGTCGAATCAGTGGTAAGGTACGTTGGGGTAATACCGGACGGATTTTCGAATAGTTGGAAGAGTCTGCCAAAAACTTTAATTTCTCGACATTCGTATACGTCAGATTTATGGAACATGGAGCAAACCGTTAATCGTTAAACGTAGTTTAGCTCTGAGAATCTTTTGCTTGTGTAAACTCAACGGTTTCTGCTTTAAAGGTGTGCGAAAACTAGACATACTTTTTTATATGCATAATGAAAAATTGGCCATTAAGGGGTAAGACCGGACTTAAATTTAAAACCACTTCTACTGCTTAGAGAAAAAAGTTTATAAAAGAGATTTGTCCTATGTTTAACGCTCAAAAACATATTTCAATATTATTCATTTAAATGTTCCAAACGATTTTCTCTTTTTTTGTTTCTTGCCATCCGATCTTATCCCTGATATAAAGAAATTGTAATTTTATGTTTCTCAAACTTTGTTATGACATAAGATGGAATTACTTAATATAAGAGAAAGATCGGATGCATTTGATTTTATATGGAAAAAAAAATAACAGTAAGGACTGGCGAAATGCCCTGGGATAATGCAGGAGTTAAGGAAGATATAAATATTTTAACAAAGCGGCATTTATTATTATAAATTATTTTTTAAATAATTATTATAAATTACATTTTGATTTGTAATAGACGATAGATATAGATGTCTATGGGCCGCAGCAATCACTTAACATCAGGTGGACTGTGTGCTCCTTTGTCACCCTTATCCTATAAAAAAATGTATTTTAATGTGTACTTAAAAGTAATAAAACCATCGTATTGTTTTATTACTTTTAAATATACAGACTTGCTAACGAGACTGAGTCCTATAGTCACTTGAGTAATCAACGAAAAAATATACACGACCAATGAAAGTTTAACAACCACTGCCATATTTGTAACAGGCAAAGATCGGATAATATTCATCCGATCTTCACTCACGAGGGGAAACATCGGATCTCGGCCTACAGCGATCTTACCCCTGCATGGACCAGCTTTATTTAGCTATAACTTCATAAAAATTAGTATCCACACAAAATAATAACAAAAGAAGCCATATTCTCGCTAAAAATCGTAAATAAAAGTGATAGGGAAAGATCGGATGGACAAAAATAATACAAAGATTACATTGTTTTATAAAATGCCACGCAGCACAGGTCCCGCTTGCCGGAGTGACTGGCGCGAACTGAGGGTCGGGGCAAGATGAAATGGCGTCGTGTAGCATATTGTTAGCTTTTCAAAATATAGCATAATTCGCCGGGAATTTGAATCCTACGGTCTTGCCCCATCACCGATCTTACCCCAACGTACCTTAATTAAACAAAAGAGTGACTTTCAATAAGTATTATTTACAATCTATATTGAATAAAAACGATTCTGTTTCTGTTTCTGTACAATTATGAATAATACACGAATCACGAACTTATCCGAACGACCCACGATAATCCATGAACGCTGAGTTTCGCGCGCCGCCGAAGGTTCGACAGATTTTTTGCCGAAACCGAATCTTCGGTCGGTCACTAGTTGCCATGCTGCCACAATGGGTGTGGGCACACTTACGTCCTAGAAAACGATTCTCTAATTCGTCAAACGTATAGGTGGACACGATGTTTTTCATCAGTGAAGAGCACATGGTAAATCAGCACTTAAAATTGTACAAATAACAATTTTATTGGTGTCGGAGGGAATTAACCAACGTTCGCTTTCGTAATATAAAATTTTAAGGACAGCTTTGCCGTCCAAATATTTATCCCGTAAAAATATTTATCAAACTCTTAATAAAAAAGCCTATTATGGCATTTTATGATTAAATATTACCTATTTAGAAAGGTTTGTTGATTAGTTATGTACTATAGAATATATAAAATAATTAAAAAAAACATGTTGCTTTTTATTTCACTTCGCTGTTCGTATAACTCAATATTGTTCTAAAGGTTAAATTTTTATTACCTCGGGATAGTCCCCATTAACATGAACTACTGGCACGGAAATGGCTTTTGCTAGGTCCGTTACGTATCTACAGGAGCGTCCACGCTCGCCGGGTAAAGTAAATCCAACCTGTAAATATATGCAAAAAGTATATACTTATGTTCTAACTTTTATTTTGTCTTCGAAATTCCTTACTTGTATAGAAAAAAATACTTAGGTATAGTACAGTCACGCTCAAGCCACAAAGTACCTACACATGACATTATGGCGTGACGTCACGTGAGTAGTACATAGGGTAGTTTATTGTTGTCTAGCTTTTACCCGCGACTTCGTCAGATCATTTGTGATCTGTAATAGATGTTTTTGGGCAAGTAGCTCAATTATCCTAAACACCGTTAATACCTACGCAATTTTTTTTGCTATTATTTCGTAAATTGTGCGATATGGAAAATTGGTTGTATCAAAATTGAAGAACTATTAATTTCAAAGAACAAACCGAAAATCAATTTTTTCTGACGGTTTTGTTGTTGAAAGGCGTTGAAGTTAAAATGTTAAAATCAATTTTGCATCATAACTTGTAGACATATAACATTAAGTGCTAGGACTGAGTAGTTTGTGTAAAAATGCAAACCAAAAAAGTATTAAAAAATTTGTGCGAAACATTTTTTATATAGTTTATAATTTGTAGGATGTTCATCAAAATATTTGAGATGGAGAAATTTGAAGAAAAATTTCCACTTTTATGGGCGACAAAATAAGTGATGAAGTTTTTAATGTAACAACTGTTAAGACGACTTTGAGATTGTGATAATCCTCGGTCCACTCAAAATGGAAAGCAGCCCTAAAAGAAAAAAATAATAATTTCATTCTAAAGTCTTTACACCGTCTTCGGAATGTGAAATTATTTTATACTTTCAGATTTTTGAAGTCGGCTTTTACTTTCCATTAAAAGTTAATTTTTGATTAATATTTTTACCCTTTTGCACAGTTATTGCATAATTGTTCCTCAAAACCCATATTAGATAATTAACTATCGAAACCACAGTCAAAATAAACAATTTGTATAGTGTGTTTGTCGCCTGAATTGCTTAATTTCCTTACTTGATTGTTGACAACGACGTGTAATGACCCGCCAACATCAAAATGTGGCGCTTGTGATAACATTAGTGTTTCTTGGTTTATCCCTTGTCCTGTAAAAGCCGCATCACCGTGGACCTATGAAAAATAAAGTTTACTTCGGTAAATAAAAAAATCTTATCATTACCAGCAACTGTGTAGTGGCGGTGTAAGAATATCCACTACCCTATATTATCCCGTGGGTGTCGTAAGAGGCGACAGAGGTTAACAAATCAGGAGATGGGCAGCATCGTCTTCCTAATAACGATTAAAATAATAAAACTGCGGTTGCCAACCCAAGCGTGGTAACTATGGCAAGCGTGGTAATTATGGCAAATATCCCCCCCTATGAGGCAATATGGGGGAGGCCTATGTTCAGCAATGAACTTTAATAGGTTATAAAGGTAACGGTAGCGGTATCAGCCGTTTCCGGTCTGGGTATTTTATGACTACGAGATTTTATGTCTTTTAGCGTAAACGAGATGGTTCTAGTGAGAATATAGTAGAAAAAATATAAAAATATTCACTGTATAGGGACGGCGTAAGAGAATCATCACCTCATCTTGTTCCGTGGGTCGTAAGAGATTAAGAGAAAATGCCTGAAGGATCTTGTAGCCATCGATGTTTAGATATCTTGTGTATATTAAAGATCTGTGTATATGGTATGACGCAGATGGGCGAAGGAAGAGCAGCATCAAAGATGAGTAAAATTTTATGTTGAATTATAGCAAGTCCTCCAATTGTGGGAGTTGCTCAATCCGGCAGTAGTTTACGGGTCAATAAAGATAAAAAAAATGTTAGGACCTCTCGAATAAAACGAAATGAACAAAAGTAAAAAATCGAAAATCTCGGATTAATTTCAGTTTTTTTCCATCTTTTTCTTCTGTATCTTCTGGATATGAGTCTCGTTAGTAAGTAGGAAGTAATATTTTAGGAAGGATTTTCAATAATTGTCATACTTGGTAGGCGAATTAACAATCGCAGTACCAAACGTCTCATACCTTTGACCAGTTGCCTGTCGCCGGTCTGTATACTCGTATTTTACATCTGGCGGAAACGAGGTGGTATAACGATATTTATCGGAAGCTATAATCTTTTTTAGATTGCTCATTTATTTTCATACAAATAAGTGCGTGTATTTTATTACCTGAACATTCAGCACTTTATCTCCCATCCTAGACGATCCATCTAGTGAATAGTCTCCTTCCTTTAACTTCAACTGTTTGGATCTTGTTTTTCCCATTGAAACAGGGTTTGCTGCCTATGAATAATATTTGTATAAATTTTTGAAAAACTTATGAAAAAAAAAATATGAAAGATTAAGTGCATACCTCTAAATGCGAAGGATTGTTAAGTAGTGAAAAACGAACGGTCCTATTGTTTATGGTTATATCAGCTGATGCACCTGAAATATTTAATGATAATAACCAAAAAGAAGAAAACTTGACTACTCCCGAATACCTATCAGCTAGTAACAACAAATTACAAAAACTGAATTATTAAAGAAATTAAAAAGAGATAGGGATCAACGAACTTAAGTTGAATGAATTAAAGTTGGTAAAAAATTACTTCGCGTACATCCGCTCGTAATTTTTAACCAACTTTAATATAATGGACTTCCGCAAAGTAACGCCTGATTCTATTAACTAAGTTGAATGAATAATTTAAACTAAAAGAAAAAGTGTAACAGTGTACAGACTTTAGTTAGACTTTGAAACAAAAAAAAAAATACTTAGATGTGTAGAAATATCGCAAGCAGCGTTAGCTTCGTCAGGGAACTCCGGTCTGCCGCTAAATTTATGGAAAATTTTCACTGGTGGACATTTCAATAGACCACTCAATACATTTAATTTTCCTCTGTGGGCCATGCCTAAAACAACTTGTTGGACGCCCTCTGAAAATACATATACACTGAATGTCAATAGCTATCATCTAGAGTACATAGTGCAATCTACTAAAGTACGACTAATAATTCACACTTTGGAAGTATTTAGTAATAATTAATATATTTTTAAAGTAACTGATTGTAGTAAAAAGTTTTATAGTATATAGCGATTTCTTGTTTATGGACTGACGACAAAAAAGTATCATAAAAAAACCTTATAAAAGCAAAGAATTTCATTACATCTAAAATGTTACTGTATAATATGCGAAAATAAAACAAAGTACATAATTATATATAAATCTTCTAAGTTTGTAATTTCACTTTTGATTAAATGCTTAGAAACTGTAAGTGATTTGAAAATGTTAAGACATGAAAAGAAATCTTCTTTCACTTCCTTATTGTTTAAAATTATAGCATTAAAAGTAATTTATAAATTGCACATTGTATTACATAATTACTGCAAGTGCTATTTCAATGTAATAGTAAAAATGTCATAAATTAAACAAAGGTAAAGTTTAAGTAAAGTTAAAGTAAAGTTTAAGTAACTTCACGCTAACCTGAGGTGGTAAGTCCAAACAATGTAGAAAAGAAAGTTAGTAAAGATTCGGCGCCTTCTCCGCAGTACCGTTTCACAGTTGGATATTTCACACTTAGAAACTTGTCCCATGCTTGAGAATGTAGAAGCTCTTTAAGAATTTCAATTTTTTGGTTATTTTCTACGGAATCTGTACTGCTTTCTATACGCTGAGCAAACCATTCTCTCTCTGTTTCGGTCTGTCGAGGGAATAGCAAGATAATAATAGCAAAATAATTTAATATTATGTCTCATACCTTAAACATGTGTCTTCCAGTAATTTTCCAATAACATTACCATTACAGCATATAAAAGTTTAGCTGAACATAAGAATAGATTGATTCAGGGGGATTTTACTATAGTTGCTATCGCAGTTCTTTATTATTTTAAGTTGTCATCGAGAAGATGTTGATCCCCATCTCCTATTTCAGTTTCCCTCTGTCGTCTTTAACGACACCCACGAGACGATATGGCGTAGTTTAGTTATTTTCTTACACCGTTACTATACGGTTGTGCATTATCCAAATTAAAGCTGTATTTGGCGCCGGCTTAAAAAAAAGTGATTTAAACAAATTGCATGGTTTTTTTACCTCTAGATACAGAAACTCGTAGGAAATAGGTCCACAGTAAATCTTCTCTAATTGTTCAACAAGGTTTTTAGCTGGTTGTTTGCCACTGTAACCATATAATAGTCCTAGATCAACTGAATCCTCTGAAGTGAGTCCATATTTTGCTAATTCGAGCTCTTTTACGGTTCTGTAATTGCGAATATTCTTTATTAACAGTCTAATCTAGTCACCGACGCTGTACGGTCTGCAGCAATCGCTTCGATGATTGATCACCAGATAGTGTTCAGAGTATCTAGTTAACACTTTGTGGGACATAATTCGAATCTTAGCCGATGTAAACATTTGTGCATATATAAAAATAGTTGGTTTTGTATCTAAAGTGCAATTATTTAACCCTTGTGGGAATCGTTTGACGGTGGGTGTCACGCCGCAATGGTGTTAAGTTTTTTCAATAAGATTATATTTTGTAACCTAAAATAATATTTTTGTTTTATAAAATACATCGGTTTATGACCAATACGATTACATTAATACAATAAAACGATACTAGGGTTAAACGTTAAAATGGAGCCCACCAAAATACCCACCAAAGTTATACAATTGTGATGCTGGACGGGTGGGATTGTTCCAGTGTCCTTTATACTGTATTTTTGTGATATGAATAAACATTTATACTAGTTTCACTCGGGCGTATTTCAAGTGTGTACTAAAATCACAATAATGAAGCTGAAGTTTCACCAAATGACAACAATCGCAAGTATATTATCCTTTATAATGCATTCGATGCTTCCTTCTATCTATCGCAAAAGTTGTCACCGGGATCTTAATTGACCTGTGTAGGTTTTTCCTATCAATAAATATCAATAAATTAGTACCGAAATTTAACGACAATTGATTTTTAAATGTACCTTTTTTCATTTCTGTAATCCACATTATCTATGGACGCTTTTAGATGACCGTACGTGCGATAGGCGTTAACTAGTTGCTGCGCCCTACAGTTTTCATATCTCTTCACTATGACACTTTCTGGAATATCTGTATCCAAAATAAACACAATTTGAAATGAATTAGATTAATCCTCACAATTGGTAAAATTAATAGTATAAATAATAGTTTTAAAATACATTTTCTATGTAGAGACATTTAGATAATATTTAAAATATAAATGTAGGTACTTAAAATAAAAGTAAAATATTTAAAATATTAATAATCTGTTAATCTTAATTTAGACATAATTTAATATACATCGGCGCAGTGAAGTAGACTCTTTCATTATACAAAAACTCTCATAGAAAAGAGAATAAGCTTGCGCCAAACGTTAAATACGTGGTAGGGTAGAGCCATGATTCCCCTTTAATTATAGTTGTGGTACAAATGAGTCCGCTCGAACGGGAAGAACCACAGAATACCAGCGGGAAATAGGAGCATAATGCTGCTGTGTTTCATATGGAGAGTGTAAAGAACCGGATACATTTCTACTGGAAATGAAACATTCCATCTTAGTCCTTAGGGGTGACAACGCATCTGTATTTTTATTTTTGATCGAGGGTAGATGTAGATGTCTATTATAACACAGCATTCACTTACCATTAGGTGGACTGTGTGTTCGTTTGTCACTCTTATTCTATAAATACTTAGTCGGGTCATAAGTTCTGTCAAAACCTTATTATTTAAATTTTTTGAATACTGTCTAGATCAACTTCACCAATTTTAAAGATATAGCGTTTGCGCTTGCCGAAAATAAAAAAGACATTCATTTTCATTCATTTTCAAATATGGAGTAGTCGAAGAAAGAAGATAGACAAGCGGTTATCGGGTTGCACCGCTGTGGTTGCGCCAAAAGAGATTTTCAATATTCTACAAAAATTGAAAATAACCCTACGATTTGTTTATCGCACTATCAAACGATTCACTGAAGATTTAAGCTTCGAAAATTGTAAGAGTACCGGCCTACCCCGTACAGTTACTACACTCGCAATCATCAAAGCAGTGAAGACTCGAATCCAACGAAATCCTGTCCGTAAACAAACAATCTTAGCTCTTTAGATGGGCCTAAGCAGAACCACAGTCAAAAGACTAATTAATGAAGACCTAAGACTACGAGCTTATCGTAAGACGACCAGACATTTTTTGAACGAGCATTTGAAAAAAATTTGGCTGGAAAGATCCCGCGCTTTGTTATGGCGGTACGCGGAAATAATGCCGCGAAATTTTGTTTTCGGATGAAAAAATTTTTAACATCGAAGAAAGTTTTAATAAACAAAATGAGAAGATGTATGCCCACAGCAGTGAAGAAGTCAGCACGCGTATTCTCACTTATAAAAATCTTTCAAATACGCGTCGCTTATAATACTTATGTGTTACATCCACAGATATACCTAATCAGGTCATAAGTATTGTCACACAGTAAAAACTTTTCTTTTAGAATGCTGGCCACAAAAAAGTTTATTGAATTCGAATTTCGAATTGTTCATGAAAATAAAACTTTATACTTTTTAGAATTTTACTCATTTTTAAATATGGAGTGGACGCTTAAAGAAGACCGTGTTGCAGTTATTGCGTTGCATCGTTGCGGTTACGCGCCAATTCAAATTTTTGACATACTGAAAAATTTGAATATAACCAAAAGATTCCTTTATAGTAACATCAAACGATACAATAAAGACTCTAGTATAGATGACAGGTCAAGAAGTGGTCGCCCTCGGTCTGTTAGGACTCCAGCAGTGATAAAAGCTGTGAAGGCGCAAATTCAAAGAAATCCCAAACGTAAGCAGAAACTGTTGGCCCCTAAGTTGGGGTTAAGCAGAACCACGGTAAAAAGGGTGTTAAATGAAGACTTAGGGCTTCGGGAATATCGAAGAAAAACAGGACATCGTTTGAATGCTCGTCTAATGGACCTGAGACTGAAGAGATGCCGCGCTTTGTTGAAGCGGTACGCGGGAAAAAAATATCGGGAAATTCATTTTTCGGATGAAAAAATTTTTACCGTAGAAGAGAGCGACAACAAACAAAATGATAAGGTGTACGCATACAGTAGTGAAGAAGCGAGCAACCGTATTCCGCGTGTCCAACGAGGTTATTTTCCATCCTCGCTCATGGTATGGTTGGGAGTTTCTTTTTGGGGCTTAATAGAGGTACATTTTTGTGAGAAAGGTGTAAAAACGAATGCAGCTGTGTATCAAAATACAGTCCTGACGAACCTTGTGGAACCTGTTCTCATACCATGTTCAATAACAGGCACTAGGTATTCCAACAAGATTCGGCGCCAGCTCATAGAGCGAAGAGCACACAAGACTGGCTGGCGGCGCGTGAAATCGACTTCATTCGGCGCGAAGGCTGGTCCTCCTCCAGTCCAGGTTTGAATCCGTTAGATTACAAGATATGGCAACACTTGGAGGAAAAAGCGTGCTCAAAGCCTCATCCCAATTTGGAGTCACTCAAGACATCCTTGATTAAGGCAGCCACCGATATTGACATGGACCTCGTTCGTGCTGCAATACACGACTGGCCGCGTAGATTGAAGGCCTGTATTCAAAATCACGGAGGTCATTTTGAATAAACTTTCTTTCTTTTTCTAAGAATCTATGTTTTATTAAGTTCATTTTGGTATATAAATGGTTACATAATGAATAAACTTGTTTCAATTATTTTATATTAAACATGTAACAGAATTTATGACATGACTAGGTAGATTTATGTCTATTGTTTCGGCATTTTCAAACTTTCAGATAGACAAAAAGATAAACTGACTTACTGGCATCTAGGTGATACGAGTACTATAAAAATAGAGATAAGAATATCCTCAATGTATTGTTGCGCGCCACTATTAATGTCTTGTACATGGCAACACTAGTTACACTAGCGCCCTCTAGTGTCGAGTAGCAGAACTAAGAGAGTCGAGATCCTTCCAGAAATTTCGGGACCGATATGTACTCGAACATTCTAGATGTCGCTACAGTAGAAGGTTCTAGAAATCTATCTGAGGCCCTATATAAGGCCGGTATAGACCACGGCCGGGGCAGTATTGAATTGGCGATACAAGAGAATACTTCGAAGCGAAACAACTGCGAACTTAAGTGATCAGTAGAATTATTGTGTTTTATTATTATTGTGTTTTAAGGTGTAATTAGTATCCGTAATTAAAGTGTCAAATTTGGTAATTCAATCGGCAGTTTTTAATTGTCTCGAACCTCAAGCTCGTAACAGTATTTACTGACAAATATTTTTATTCTTCAGCATTTTTACGGCTGTTCCCAGTATTCAATCTATTTCTTGTTGCTTATCTATCTTCAATTTGCTATCGGAAGTCGGTTGTAGAATTTTTTAATTTTTAATTATTTAGTCCCAATAAATTTAACAATAGCCAAACCTATAGCCAAAACTGGTTGCTATCTATCGATCTGAGGACGGATAGATTGTTACATATTGTTAATTTTATGAAAATTACAGTTCACGCGTCCCACTAACAGCAAAGATGCTATCTGTCAATGACATCAGAGATTACTAGTAACTTAAATTTCTTCTAAGGTTTTTGGGGGGTAGATGAATATTACATTTTTAATAGCATAAGAGTAACAAACGAGCGCACAGTCCACCTGATGGTATGTGGGTGCTTTGGCCCGTAGACATCTACATCTACTACATCTATCGTTACTTAAGAATCAAAATGCAGATGCGTTGTCACACCGTCACCTCTGTGTAATCAGATCGATTGCCTCGTTTCCAGTAAAAGGCTTTACAGTTCTTTACACTCACCTTACGAAACACAGCAGCATCAAGCTGCTATTTCTCGTCAGTATTCTAGGAGAAAGCGTGACCACTCCCCGTTAGAGTCGACTCATTCGTGCTACGTTATATAGATCCAACACGGCTCTACCACTCTACCACGTATAAATACTAGTTCTAAAACTTGATTATTTTAATAGAATTAAATCAGTTTGTCTATTAAATCATTTAAATCAGTTCATATTAGTAGTATACTTGTAGCACGAATGGGTCGGCTCGACCGGGGAAGGACGCTCTCACAGAATACCAGCGTGAAATAGCAGCTTAACGCTGCTGTGTTTCGTATGGTGAGTGTAGAGAACCGGAGACCCTTTTTACAGGAAATGAGGTATTCCATCTTAGTCCTCAGGGGTAACAACTAATCTGCATTTTGATTTGTAATAGAGGATAGATGTAGATGTCTATGGGCCGCAGCAACCACTTACCATCAGGTGGACCGTGTGCTCGTTTGTCACCCATACCTTATAAAAAAATGGGCGTAATTGTTACAATACGTATTTTTTTTCAAAGTTACTCCCGAAGTAGGATTTTATCCGCTGCCGTGGAGGCGGTTTCTATACACAAATTGCACAAAGACAAACATCCGGAGGCGGGACAAAAATTTTAGGTCATACAAACATTTGCGTCTAACCCACGGCTCTACGTTCAGATTAAAATTTAGTTTCAGTGGAATATCAGTTTGTCTATAGATTTAGATTAATTTAAGACCGTTCCCAATATTGACAGTACACAATTTACCGATTGAAATATATTTACTTGTAACTTCAAAACGGTAAGTGCTACGTACCTGCGTAGCACGTCTTTATACGAGTAATAATGCTTTAGATTATTATCTACATGGCGTTCAAGTGCGACGGGCAGCAGCGTCAATGTCTTCTACACGTTTGGCGTTGCGATCGTCAACCAAGATCTCCCTACAACGGGAGAGACCGCATATAAAATAAACGGTCTTTGTAATAAAATGCAAAAATATTTTTATTTATTTATTTGTATCAGACATAATTTCTTATTTTTTCTCCTTCAACATAATTTAAATCCTATTTTCCTTATGTTAACGTAAATATTTCTTCTTCTCACCTCGTTTTCGTCTGTTTAAATAATATTCAGCGGTTGCTTGGTTTCTGTATTTTATTGATTTTTACTTCACCTGCAATAATTTAGTATCACATTTTCATTGGCCGAAATTCGACCGCTTATTATTTATATATTTATTTCATTTATGATTAAAAATGTGTTTGTTTTTGCTACACTAGGTTCAATTTTAGATAATATTGTATACATTTTAATTTTTGTGTACAACATATTGTAGCACTCCGGCTACGGCTTTACGTACAATGGAACGTGAGGGAAAGCTGTGATAGCCGGCTGGTCTTTTGTTAACTGGAGATAGGAAACTTATTACGACGACCTATCGAGGATAGTTATTCGTCTCTAACCGCAGTTTAGATATTAAGAACAGTATTATATCGAGATACAGATGATATACCAACGATATAATTTAATTGGATCCTTGTGATTCTTATTCTGTTTATTTTAGAAATCTATTTGAAGATAGACTAGAGAGATTTATTACATTGTAGTTTTAGTAAAAATTTAAGCAAGTTAATGCATATACAGAGTTCTAAACTTCATCATATTTTTGTTTGGAAAAATGTTCGTGTCTTACTTTTGGGATCACTGGAACGACTATTTTAAATTGAATATGACTGAAGGCCGGTTTTTAAATCCTGAGATAAACAGACAGATGGCGTTTGTTCGAGAGATAAAACGACAAAACTCGCGATACCGTCCATGCCATATGGGTTGACGGTCCATCTCTGTGAAATTAACTAGAAGTTTTATTCGTTGCACAAGTTGTTTGTAGAATTGGCTACTACCAACGATTTCTTTAGACCTGTACAACTTAAGGATCAAGAGCTGACTTTTTAAAAGGATGCCGGCTTTTTAAAAAAATCACGGCACCCGCAATATACCCTGGCGTTGCAGTTGTTCATGGGCAACGGTAGTCACTTACCATCAGGTGAGACGTATGCTCATTTGCTGCTCTTGTATAAAAAAAGACAGAAAACATTAAAAATAACTTTTTTGGACGAATAATTCGATTACCTGAAGAATATAAATGTAATGTAATGTCAAATGTAAAATATAATGTCCCGTTGTTCGACAGATAGTTTCATTCGGTGACAAATGTCGTTAAACACAACATTATACTTTCATATGATACTAGCGATCCGCCCCGGCTTCGCACGTGTGATTTCTGGATCTCGATAACAGCGCCACCTACCGGGTCTTATCGTGAATCTAAATCATACAGGGACCTACTCAAACACACACAAAAAATATTAAAATCGGTCCAGCCGTTTTTGAGTTTTAGCGAGACCAACGGACAGCAATTGACTTTCATATATAGAGACTTGCAACCCATCCCTGCTTCGTTAGGATCTTTTAATGTGGTATTATTTCGATTTAGGATTATCATCAATGACCAATTTATTTTATCTATTATCGATTTTTAAAAAAAAAACTAATATTCGGATAAAGTATAACCTAGATCACTATTGATACTTTCTATCTGTTCGTCATTTCATTAGAATCGGTTCAGCCGTTACGAAGATTAGCCCGGACAGACAAAAATAAAAAAATGGTTATTTATGTCTTAAAAGCATGCAAATAACTCTCTCAGCATGGCTAGCACGGGCTGGGAACAAAAAAATTATGCCCCGATTATATCCACTGACAAGAGATAAAATTATCTTGTCCTTATGCCAAAGCACGGCAACGGGGAGAAGTATATCCCTGTTTGACCTAACGAGTAGACATATATCCGCCGTCCGTAGCATGGGGCAACATGGAAGATAAAAAATTATGCTTTTTTGACATTTGAAAGGCACAATTTTATTCCAGTTCATTGGACGTGGGTTTACGTTTATATTCATACAAAAAATCTATCTAAGTCTAAGTCTATCTCCCATTTTATCTACTGTGGATATTATATCCACTTGTGTGCCAAGGGTGGATATACCTAAGCGAGGGGATAAACATTTTCACCTTTCCCCGGGGATAAAATTGTCTCCTGCCCATGCTAGCCCTGCAGCTCAATAAAGGACAGTTATTTCGATACTAAGGACAGACACTTAAATTTTTATTTATATGTATGTATGTATAGATTTCGTATAGATTAAAAAATAATCATTCAAGCGCGATCAATTCACTATCTAGGGTTCAAAAAAAATTTATCGTATAGTGAGGGTTTTAAAAGAGTTTGTGCAATACTTCTTACGGTAAGAGTACAAAAAACGAGTACAAAACACCAAAGTGATTTTGATATTGTTTATAGGTGCAACAAATAATGGCGTTATGAGCAGTACTAATTAGTCATACGTTTTTTTTCTCTGATTCAATCGCTATTTTGTATTGAATTACAAACGAAATAGCCAAGCGTAAAATAAACTACATTGTTGTCAATAAACCAAGGAAAACATAACTTCAATTTAAACTGACAATTGATACTTGATTGTGACGTTTTTGCCTCAAAGGAAACAGTAAGAAAATAGAAGTAGCTTGTTCTGTTTTAATGTTTGCATACACGATATTTTTGTTGGACATGCTAGAATTTAGCTAATCAGTAAGCCAAGGTTGCTATAGTCCAAAAGATCAGTCGGATCGTGAGATAAATTGCAATTGACAAAATAGACAACCAATTGTTTGATAGTTAATCAGCTAATTATTATTTTTCGTTCGCTACTTAAATTAATTATATAAATATATAATATGCAAGATAGTAATTAGACATTTCATTTGAGTAAAAAATTGTCTCGAAAAGTTATTATAATAGATTAAATTACAACACAAACAAATTAAAAAAAAAACAATCGAATTAACAAAGTAGTTCAAATGTTTTACTTTTGTATTCAGCCAGGTTATAATTTATTGGATGGATAACTTTTATTGGAAGAATGTTAAATCGGTCCTTATTCCTGTAACTTTTTAGATTATATTCGAACAGTTTGAAAAGATGGTGAATATTTTATGAGAATCGAATCAAACTTTTTGTAGGATCATTTAAAACAATGAACGGAGCTCCACAGTTTTTGAATTTTAAATATGTTCCATTTTTAATATATAAAAGTAGTATAATAAAAGGTTTTGATATATAACAATAGAACTTATATACTTCTAAAGTCTCCTTAAAGATTTAAAGAATAATGTTGTACAAAATATGTAAGCCATATTTACCCTACTGCGGTGAGCCCATAAGGAGAAGGTAATAATATGGCTATGTAATAATGTAGACGTTGGATTTTGGCAAATATATCGCAATTGATTTGTTTTAATTTCATAACCAAAGTGAACTAATTGATGTCAGCATAAAATAAAAATATGTTTTTTAATTATTTATTTTTATTTTTATAGAACTAGGGTGACAAACAAGCACACAGTCCACCCGATGGTAAGTGGTTGCTGAGGCCCATATACATCTACATCTATCCTCGTTTGCGAATTAAAATGCAGATGCGCTGTCAGCTAAGATGAAATGCCTCTTTTCTAGTAAAAAGGGTTTCCGGTTGTCTACACTCACCATACGAAACACAGCAGCAAAATGGTGGAGAAGAACTGTCAATATCTTGCGGTTTAAAGGTTTAAATAATAATAAAGCAATGTATTGTGTATGGTATTATAATTTATAATGTTTTGTAAATTTTCTTATTGAAAGCTTTGAAAATTAAATAATTGTTACGGATATAAAATATTTAAAAACAAAAACGTAATGTCTTTTTAAAGCCCTGATCGATGGGCGAACTTTACCACCTACTTGGTGGCTCGCCGGTAAATCTCGTTGGTGGATCGTCGCTATGGCCTTTAGTAATATTTTTTATGCAAGGATAACAAAGTGACGGACGTGCACCTAAAGGTAAGGTAGATGTTGTTGTCCACGAACACAAAAATCTATCCTCAATTGAATATCAAAATACATATGCGTTGGTCACACTGACTCCAGTTTTTGTCACTCACCATACGAACCACAGTAGCTTTGTAGCTATTTTTCAGTGGATTCTGCAATTTTTCCTTAACTGAATTGAAGCATTTGTGCTGCAATTATAACACTGCAGCGTAACTCTACAGAAAGCCGGCCTGAAGAATTCAAAAAGATTGCAATGTTTCAGGCCGTGGGTTCGATACCGCGTGTAAGAACTATTCATAAGGTGTAAAGGTAATGGTAAGGTAAGGTAATGTCGTTCTAGATGTTTGTCCGTTTGCATTTTATGTAGGAATAAATCCTAGAGTTGGTATTAAAAACAAAAATAGAACATTGCGTTTGGTAACTTGTTTGAAACGATTACTATTTGTCATTAAACGAGTTTAAAAATAAAACCTGAAGCTACATTCATCGAATGGAGTGTGAACTATATTCATTGACTGTATTATATTGAACTACAACCGTAATTTTAATCATACCAGATTCGTTCGCTTCACGCGGTCGATGCCCGAACACACCTACTCCGGAATGGTACTTGTATCGTTCATACGAACGGTATTCCTTCCTCTTTGTCAGTTGTCTCACTCCCACTTTAGAAAACCCAATCATTGTTGTCAATTCACTCAACACTGATTTCTAAATGATAATAAACATAATAATAACCATAAAACAAACGATCTTACGAATTCTGAACGGAAGTGAACCTAAACGAAATGTGTTCTATTTTTGAACATTTTGTGCGCGGGAGTGTCTTGTACGGTGACTCCAATCGTACTGTTTTTAATGACAAGAGAGATAGCAAACTTGCGCGATAATGTACTTGTTTATAAAGAATCGGAATCGTCGATAAACATGTGACGGTAGGTTCTACGAGTGCGATAAGGCAAGTTATGTTTTAGTGGTATAATACCCAATGAACAATAACTATCGAACAATAAACCTATTTCATTCCGAATCGTATTAGACAACTAAGGTACAAATCAAAAAGTTCTTGTGACTTCCGATAGACAGCGGTAAAATATTTATATCAGATTTACGCGCTCTGCAGCATCTGTCTTTCCATTCCATTACAATGTGTGTGTCTTCAAGGCAAGAGTGAGTAGGCTTTTGATAGGTCAGTGCGCTACACCATCTTAGGCTACATCACCATTTACCATCAGGTGGGATTGTAGTTAAACGCTGGCTTTGAATAATAAAAAAATACGTGGTAGAGCCACGCTACAGCTATACTATGGCTGTAGCACCGAGGTAGGACCACGCATTCGCGGAATACTAGCGAAAACTAGCAGTTCAATGCTGCTGTGTTTCGTATGGTGAGTGTAAAGAACCGGAGACGCTTTTTATTGGAAACGAGGCATTCCATCTTAGTCCTCAGGAGGAACAACGCATCTGCATTTTGATTCTTGATTCGAGGATAAATGTAGATGTCTATGAGTCACAACATCCGCTTACCATCAGGTGGACCGTATGCTCGTTTGTCCCTTATTTTATTAGAAAAAAAATTTAAGAATACCTACAACCCCATATTGTTCCGTGGGTGGGTGTCATAAGAGATGACAAAGGTAAATTGAAACAGGAGATGGACAGCAGCATTTTCCTGATAACAACTAAAAATTATAACAAACTGCGCTCGTCAACCCGCCTGCCAATCGTGGCAACTATGACGCAATCCCCTATGAGACAATCTGTGGAGGATGCCTATTTTTTTGCGCCCATAGCAAGGCTACCCTCCGGAAGCGGGGGAGGGAGGGTGATGAATGCTCATAGTATACCACGCAGCTGGCTGCGTGGTTATGTGGGACTCACTAAGAAGTGCTTACCCACTAAACACCACCTGTGGGACTGGCTTTGGCCTGTATGGCCTCTCTACCGAATCAGAAACGAACCCCTTTAGGGAAAAGGGGCGCAGAGGAGGCCTATGTTTATACGGCCTATGTTTTGTGACTTTTATAGGTTGTATCGGTAATGGTACCTACGGTAAGTAAATAAATTTAGACAAATTACGCTCTTATCATTTTAGCAGTTAAATTATATTACATGTGAGCCTATATTTTACAATTGTTGTCATGCGATCAACAATCATTAAAGATAAGAGAGATAACGAATGAACAGTCTTATCTATTATGTATTAATAAGTGAATTTTTATTATATTTATTGTTAGCAATGAGGTTAAAAAAATAAAAGAAAATTCAAAATTTTAAATTTTGTACAACCGACTTCAATATAAATTATTAAGAATAACTCAAAAACCATTGGTCAGACCTTGAACAAATTTATATGGAACCTCATGTGAAGTACCAGCTTTCAAATAAAAAAAGAATCATCAAAATCGGTTCACCCAGTAAAAAGTTATTAAAAAGTTACACATAAAAAAATATACAGTCAAATTCAGTACCGTCTCCTTTTTGAAGTCGGTAGGAAATATGAAGAAATGAGTTGAGCTGTAATCTCCCAACCGTTTTAGTAGTAGGTATAAAGTATCGCGCAGGCTCCGCAGACCGAGAAACTATCTCTCTCTCAGACCCGCCAAATAAAATTTCAATCGATCTGAACTGCCTCCTGGCGGCTCAGGCCCATTCTTCTTAAATTTGCCTAAGTAGGCTCTCCCTCAGCGGCTCGTAGCCGCCTGCGCCCTCTTTTCTTAAAAGACGGTAGCTTCCGATTCGGCAGAGAGGCCTCAAAGGTTTCTGCCCAACCCTCAAAGTGGAGTTTAGCGGGTATCACTTAAGGTCCCGGTTAGGATAGTCACAGTGAGTCCCGCATAACCACGACAGATCGGCTGTCGTGGTACGCATAAAACATTCTCCACTTCCTCGCGTATCGGGGTAGCCCTTTCCAATTGCTTTTGGGCGCAAAAAAAAACTAAGAGGGATCAGTCTGCAATTCTACGAGTCTTGCTGTCGTAATTATGCTCATTGGGCTGAAACATTACCTAAGATTCTGCCTAAGTAAGACTCGTTGTAGTAGTTCTACAAGTGTAAGCAAGGATGGTCGTGTTGCTGAGAGGCTGCCCTGTGTTACATCGAGATGGGTAGTGTTGCTGTTGGTTTGCATACTTTGGTGTGATCATGTAATTATGTCCTTCACGTTACACCAGTGTGTGATTGTGACAGTGACATATTACGGTATGGTCGAACTGTTTTTGCTCTACACTGAATGTATAGTGCAGTTACGCTGTCTTATATGTCTTAGCAATGTGAAATTAAAGAGCGTAGTAATAAATTATACCTCTTTTTAAAGAGCATATTGTATTCCTTACTTTAGTCATACATATTTTGGCGGAAAAGTTGAAATTTTTTTGATAAAACTGAAGTTCGAGCAAATAATTTCAATAAATGAAAAAAAAAGTTCATATTTCGTGGCAAATTGCATGGAAATCATAAGGGATACGGCTTTTGTATAAGAGGTTGATAGAAAATTTATCAAGAATAATTTCGTAGCTTCACACTTTTCATGTATAGGGTACGGTTTCCATAAATACTGGAAAATATCGCGCCTCAAAACACATTACGGGCGCGTACCCGGGAGGGGGAAGGAGAGGATAAAATTTTACTTCGCTCCTAAATACATATATGCCGATAGATAAAAGTACTAAAATGATTGAACTAGTAAGCAAGTTGAACATATTTATTATTTTTAACAATTAACCTCAAGAGTAATTTCTAATAGTAAAGAAAGTTTGTTACCGGGTAATATTCTTTTATTTAAATAATTTTGAGGACAATTTCTAAGAGTATTGTATATTTTTGGTGACAGTGTAAAATAATCTATCGCTCCATTTCATCCCGGGGGTATCGTAAAAGACGACTATGAGAAATGTCGCGGCGCCTGATTGATAACATTCATAGGTACTTAGGTAGGTATATAACATCTCGTTTACGCCCTCATTTGGCAAGTGGGTAGGCAACCGCAGTTTATTTTATTTAGCTGTTATCAGGAAAATGCTGCTGCCCATCTGCTGGTTCAATTTCACTCTGCAGCCTCTTACGACGCCCACGTGGTGATATGGGGTGGTAGACGTTCTTACACCACCACTAGACGGTTATTTACCAACATAACATTACTACATTTAAGATCTTTAGAAGCCTGAATGACCTTGACGAAACGGAGACAGCAGAGTCTTAGAGATCACAGAGTGACGAAGTATATTCACGAGGATATATTTAATTTCGAAGAAAACAATATAGAATAGAATAGAATAAAATAATTTTTATTCAATATAGATAACAAGAATACGTATTAAAAGTCATTCAAGCTTTACCACTGGTTCGGGAAAACTTCGGTCCTAGGAAATTAACCAGCCAGAAACTCAGCGGGACTTCTTTTTATAAGCACAATTTATATAATATTACTAGCTGGCCAGGCAGACGTTGATCTGCCCTTTCCGACGACCCTTGATATACAAAAATCCTTAAATTCGTAATAAAAATTATTGAGGTTCATTTATCGGGATAAAAACTATCCTATCTCTCAAGTTGGACCAAACTGAACGCAGTGTGCAAAATTTTATTGAAATCAGTTCAGTAGTTTAGGAGTCCATCGCGGACAAACAACGTGACACGTAATTTTTATATATAAAGATATATATAATATTGTATACAATTAGTATAAAAATTAATATTAATAGTTATGAAAATTATTAGCATATTTTCTGGGACTTTATTGTAACTGCGTATACATTCTCATTTTTGAGTGCCTGTGCCAGTGCGTGTTGTGCCAAAGTCACACAGTTATCGAAATATTTTTTTTCTTATTTCTCAGACATGCCGGTTTCTTTACGAAGTTTTCCTTCACCACCGAGCACGTAATAAATCAGCATTTAAAATATCAATATTTTTTTTATTGGTGCCGGCGGGTTCGAACGCGGGTTGCTCGCGTACTGTGAAATTTACAGCCAGCACTTAGCCCCTGAGCTAGCACGGCTCTTAAAAAGAGATTAATTGTTTTCTGTTATTAACCTACTTCAATACGGTAGAAAGAAAAACTAGAGTGATTTTTCTTTCTATCGTACAGTACGTACCTTAACTAAGTAAACGTCAACTAAGGGTATGAAGCGTTTAGCGTCATAAATGGGTATGGAGGTCTTACTAATGTCTAAGCACTATAAAGTTCTTATGTTAACGAAATAATACGGTAAATTAATCATTTCAAAACCGTCTAAAATATTTTTATCAATAACGCAACGCAACGTATGTTATATAAGGGTCTGGTACTGTGTCAGTTAAATCTATATCTGTGATATAAAACGCTGACAATAGTTTTTTACGGGCTGAGGACAAAACGAAAAGCGCTATAGAAACAAGTCGGTGCTCACGAAGTGCAGTTATGGGTCGCATTTGGCTAAGCCACTATAACATTCCCGTTGGCTATAGCAAAAAGTGCTACAGCAAAATCTTTCAAAATAAGGAAAAGCACCAATATGTAAATTAAAATTAAATTGATATAAATTACCTAAGGCAAAGGCACCTATTTCCGTTATATTTTTACTGAAACGCGAATGGAGATCGAAAATTAAGCATTGACTTATCTTTTGGAAAGGTTAGCTATTTAAAAAGAAGTTTTATAGTTTTTACCCTTTAAATTGAGTAAAGTTTATTGGTATTTAAAA